GCACGTTCTTCACGCTCGGCGCGGGCCTTGTTGATCTTTTCTTCGATCTCGAGGCGCTTCAACTTGCGGGTGGCGTCGTCCATTTCCACACCGCTGGCTTCTTCTTCAAGCACTTGCAAAGCGGCTTGCGCTTGGGTCAAACCGGTTTGGAGTTGCTTGTTGCCCTTGTCCAAGGTCAAACCCTTGGTGTAGGCAGCCACGGCCTTTTGGTACGACTTGATGAAGTAGTACGCGGCACCGAGGCGGGCGTAACCCTTGCTCCACTTGGCATCGATTTCGATACACTTGTTGGCGTCTTGCAAAGCCGCAGCGGCATTGCCCGCGCTCAAGTACGCCGCCGATCTGTTCGAGTAGTAGATGTGGTTGGTAGGCTCGAAACCGATGGCGTTCGTAAACTCCTTGATCGCCGTCGCGTGGTCGCCAGCAGCGTACGCTTCGTTACCACGGTTCTTGGCTTCCGTACCTTGCTTGGTACGTTCTTCCGCAGAGAGGTTGGCATGGGCATCCTTCGTGCCTTTGCCCGTGCGACGACGTTGAGGGGCCATTCGTGCTCTTAGTTGTTGCAAAGGGAATTGCCAAATGAATTTTGGCCATCGCTCCGACCGTATCCGGATGCGTCAACTTGAACGTATTGCAATGACCCCACCACGTGTTGCCTCCTACGACAGCATCCTTGCCGATTTTCACGATTTTTGGAAAATCCATGGGACAGATCCGCCAAATTCGAAATTTTTCGCCTAGCAAAACTCAATAATGGGATATCCGGATACCTCGTGGATCCGAGGCATTTTTGCCTCCTCACCATCCTTTTTTGTATTTCAATTTCTATGGACGATCACAGAAGCACCTGATTGGCTGGTGACGTTTCAAGACACAATCTGATTGGCCCAAGCAATTGACGGCGACTGATACAAATAATTGGTGGCCATCGATTACCCGGTTCGCCAGCGTCTCGATGGCTGCCTCACTCAAGTTTTGAACATCGACCATGGCCCCTCAACGTCGTCGCACGGGCAAAGGCACGAAGGATGCCCATGCCAACCTCTCTGCGGAAGAACGTACCAAGCAAGGTACGGAAGCCAAGAACCGTGGTAACGAAGCGTACGCTGCTGGCGACCACGCGACGGCGATCAAGGAGTTTACGAACGCCATCGGTTTCGAGCCTACCAACCACATCTACTACTCGAACAGATCGGCGGCGTACTTGAGCGCGGGCAATGCCGCTGCGGCTTTGCAAGACGCCAACAAGTGTATCGAAATCGATGCCAAGTGGAGCAAGGGTTACGCCCGCCTCGGTGCCGCGTACTACTTCATCAAGTCGTACCAAAAGGCCGTGGCTGCCTACACCAAGGGTTTGACCTTGGACAAGGGCAACAAGCAACTCCAAACCGGTTTGACCCAAGCGCAAGCCGCTTTGCAAGTGCTTGAAGAAGAAGCCAGCGGTGTGGAAATGGACGACGCCACCCGCAAGTTGAAGCGCCTCGAGATCGAAGAAAAGATCAACAAGGCCCGCGCCGAGCGTGAAGAACGTGC